GTGCAAAGATATCGTCTGTACATTGGGCTCAAGGGGACAAGAACCTCTCAGTGATCTCTGGGAAAGCTCCTGCCCTGGGGCCCTCTAGCCTCTGGCTGAAGAGTCGCTCCCAGGATGAGCACACATCCCTTGACAGACCAGGTGGAGGATTCAGCGAGCCTACCAGGCCCGCTGCTTGTATGACATGGCCCCTAGGCCAGCCAGCCCTGGGCGTTGTAGGAGCTGCCATCAGCCCAAGCCAGAGGTGGATGAGAATGGGACCGTTTACTATGTCTCCCCTCCTGCCTCATGGGTCTCACTGCCAAATCTTGGCGAGCACATAAATAACCCTGATTAGCCACTGTGGCTGCTACTTGGGCCAGATATTGTTCCTGGCCTTCGTGCAACCTGTTCCTCATCTACTCCTGCTTGTAAAGAAGCAATTGCCTAAAGAGAGCAGCCACTGATAGTGTTTTACCAGGAGCCAAGCCCTGTCCACAGCAGCCATGTGACGGACGTACTCTCATTATCTCCACTGGACAGTTGAGGGGCACAGAAGCACAGGGAGGTGAGAGGCCCCTCTCAGGATCCCACAGCTAGGAAGTGGCAGAGCTGGATCAAATCAGGCAGTTTGATCGCAGAGCTCAAGCTCCAGAGCACCTGGCCAGGGCCTGGCCGCCTCGTTGCACAACTCCAGGGGTTATCACTTACGCAGACATGATCCCTCTCTTCTTCTCCATCTTACACCAGTGAGGATCCTAAAACTCAGAGTGGTAAGGTAACTTGCTGAAAGCCACACAGCAATTTAGTAGTAGAGGTGAACTTTGAGGCCAGCTTGATAGTCTACTGATTACGGGAGCCAGTTCCCACATGGCCAACCATGGCCGTTATCCAGCCCAAGTGGCTTAAATAAACAATGCCAGGTGCATGTGCATGTGCCCCAAATTCCGACAGGATGAAGAAATGAAGGGAAAGTATTGTAGCTTGACCGTGCCCCATTGAGCTATGCTTTCTCCTTTCTCTCTCTCTCTCTGTCCCTCTCCAGCAATTAAATCTTTAAAGAAGTGAACGTGGAACCCCACTCTACCTGACTGCTGTCATGTCGGCATCTTTGTGTCGAGTCACCAGTTCCCAGGAGCTTGGCACCTGCAAGTTCAGACTGTTCAGGAATGGGTGGAAGCTCAGAGAAGAGAACAGGATGTCAGTCGAGGGGGTTCTCAGCACTAAATTGTTTCTAGTGGAAAAGCTTAGTCAGAGACGAGCTGCAGATTGCACAAGAGATGACCGTGCTTGCACGCATGTGTTAGTAGTTGGACCTTATACGTGCCTCGTTTGCAGTCGGCCTTTGCATGCGTCATCTGCAACTCACCTCTCCACCATAGCTCTGTCAGGGAAATGTAAAACCCCAAGGGGCAGAGCGGACAGTTTGTGGGAGGTCTTTGTGCCCACGGCTATACCCAACTCCCCAGGGCTCTCTCTAGGAACCTCCCAGGTGTCAGGTGGTGATGGCTCCAGGCTGCATGCCGAGATGAAAGGCACCACTCGCCGGCCCACAGGTGACCTCACCTGGGAGAAGAAAGCCAGGCGCGGACAGAACGAGCCTGCCAGGCCCCTTTCTTATGCCTTCCTTAGACCTTGCGCTGCCTCCAAGGGCTGCCCATTTCGGGAGCTGGCTTTGGG